TGCCCCAGTGTGTGTGTGTGTGTGTGTGTGTGTGTGTGTGTGTGTGTGTGTGTGTGTGTGTGTGTGTGTGTGTGTGTGTGTGTGTGTGTGTGTGTGTGTGTGTGTGTGTGGTGAGTGGGTCTCAAAGAGCTGATTCTGTGGCCAGACGTCTCTAATGAATTATGGAGACAAGAGATTTGTGTAATTATGTAATACAGAGACTTTATTAGAGACAGTCGTCCTACGGGTCACCCCTATGAGACAGTCGTCCTACAGGTCACCCCTATGAGACAGTCGTCCCTACAGGTCACCCCTATGAGACAGTCGTCCCTACAGGTCACCCCTATGAGACATTCGTCCCTACAGGTCACCCCTATGAGACAGTCGTCCCTACAGGTCACCCCTATGAGACATTCGTCCCTACAGGTCACCCCTATGAGACAGTCGTCCCTACAGGTCACCCCTATGAGACAGTCGTCCCTACAGGTCACCCCTATGAGACAGTCGTCCCTGGGGGTCACCCCTATGAGACAGTCGTCCCTGGGGGTCACCCCTATGAGACAGTCGTCCCTGGGGGTCACTTTAAGAGACAGTCATCCCTAGGGGGGTCAACCCTAAGAGACAGTCATCTCTGGGGGTCATGCTTATTCCCTCTGTCTCCCAACAGGTATAGATGTGTGGAACCCAGCATTTGATGTGACCCCCCATCAGCTGATTACAGGGGGCATCATCACAGAGTTGGGAGTTTTCCTGCCCTCAGAGCTGCAGGCAGCACTCACCGGACGCCTCACTGCCCTGTAGAGGGAGTCACCCTGTAGAGGGAGACACCTGCTGGCCATAGAGTGCTACTGCATCTTCATTTTCCTGCCCAGTTTACTCGTATAGGACTTGCACGTCCGACATTGTGTACACACACACACACAGATGTGGTGGAAGTCTATTTTTTTTACACACTCACAGTTTTGCACAGACACATTATGCCGGGAATCAACCAGACACAACCCACAACCCCCTGCCCTTTCTGTTTGTCTCTTCTTCCTGGTGTCTACTGTATTCATCTAGTGTCCAGTGCTGTGTGAAGACATGTCTTTATCTCTCTCTAATCTGTCTGTCTGTATCTCTCTCTACTCTGTCTGTCATTATCTCTCTTTACTCTGTTTTTATCTTTTTCTACTCTGTCTGTCTGTATCTCTATGTCTCTCCATCATACAAAATGGTTCCACAGTGAGAAACACTTTTAATCTTGGCGCCTCTCCTAAGTCAGAACCGTAACAGTTAAAACAAGTAGTTTGACTAAAAATGTCAGATTGTTCAGATAGATGAAAATAAATATTAGCCTGTTCTGTTTTTGCTTACAGGACTCATACTCCAACCAATGTGTTGATTAAAGGTGAACCTCATTTGAGCAGTTTGTGGTGCTTGCGTTTAGATTTCAACGTCGCTGTCTGATTTGTACATAAATATTAGCATCGGTACCAGTTTGTACATAAACTAAAGTGAATTATTTTGGGGTCTCTGAACAACCAGACACACACATACTACGTAGATGGTAGCCTGGTAGTGCCAAGCTCTGAAAAAAAAGTAATCGCCGTCATAATCAAAGTGCTCGAGTGATGCGGCAAAATTTTGGCGCATTGATTTGGAACGTCTACATGCACCACGCCCTAGTGGTTGTCTTTAAGGAGCATTTGAAATTGGACCCAATCAAACTATATTTATAGTGACGTAGAAGTTTTACTATGTCTACGTTGGTTTAATCGAACTATGACTTCAATTTCTGGGCCACACATTTTGTAGACACAATGTCGAATACATTGGTTCACTCTCCTTATAGAGTTTCGGTCTCCTTATATAGTTTCAGTCTCTTTATATACGGTTCCTTAAGAGCACTGCTTCACCTGTGATCGTAGTACTCAGGTCTAAAGGTAGGGAACTATATACTGTTTCATTTGGGACAACCACTTGGACACAGCAGGCCTTAAAGATTACAGTCATTTTGATGGGACTATATTGGCCTAATACCTCGACCCGAGACTTTACCTTCCTGAACCTCAACCCAAATCTTCACCTTCCTGAACCTCAACCCAAATCTTTACCTTCCTGTACCTCAACCCAAATCTTCACCTTCCTGAACCTCAACCCAAATCTTTACCTTCCTGTACCTCAACCCAAATCTTTACCTTCCTGTACCTCAACCCAAATCTTTACCTTCCTGTTCCTCGACCCGAGTCTTCAACTACCTGAACCATAACCCACGCTTCACCCTGCTTCACTACACAATACACAACAACATAGAAACGCAATATATAGACTGACTGTCACCTTATTTTTGTCTGCCACGGCTAAAGCAAGCGAAGTCTCTTGGCTTCATACAATAATTTAATTGGTAACAGTTGTTTTGGGGAATTTGGAATGGTGAATGTTTCTGTTCTACGTGTTATGTTTCTATGATGCGCTGAATGTCACAGGCGCCCCTCCACGGGGCCTGCTCATTGCCTTACAGAAACGGCACCCCTATTCCAACCCGACACGGGAATGGTGCATCTCACACACACTCTCCGTACGATAGAGCCATTGAACCCTGGTCGGGTGTAGTTCACGTATCTGGTTAGGCAGCTACTTTGCCCGGCCAGAGGATAGAAGTTTAACTTGGAAGGAACATGTCCACTCCTTGAACGCCCCCTTTCCCCCCGGTCTAAAGCAAAGCCCTCAAACGCAAGAAAAATAGAGACTAACGTGCCCTGCCCCGCTCCACTGTTAATCAGTTTGTGCGTCTCACATCCACCTGATCGTCCCCAGAACCCCTCATCAGCCAACTACCTCATCCTTGCTACTCTTCATCCTTAACCCCCTGACACTTCATCCCCCCCACCCGTTGATTTCTAAACATCCACTTTCTGTTACCCGGTGTTGATCCCTACTAGTTCGCACCAATCGTTCGTATATACAGTTTTCCTGCAACCACAAACATTATAATTGTTTTAGAATTCTAGAATATAGTGTCATAAATCATTTGCGCATTCTAGAATTAGTAGAATAGAGAACTGTCAATTCCGCACCTCCTCTTATCCTAACCCCTTATCCTCTGTTACAAACGTACCCCACTTGCCCCTGTCTCCCTCTACCTCTCCTCTCTCCCTTTTCTTTATTCCTCATTTCCTGGCCTCTCCACCCTCACACTATGGCTGTTGGGTGTCAAATCACAAAAGGCCTAAAATTCAAACACCACTGTCATGTTTTGGGGTTTCTTTCCATTCTTTGTCGTTTGTTTTGAGAGACTGAACTGGAGAAATCTAAAAGGAAGGATTTCAACAAGCGAGAATAATGTAGCAACTCTGTCACCATCTGTGGATTGTTTTTTGTTGAAAACAAAAAAAAAGGTAAAATACATGGTTTGTTTGCCATCTTGAATACTTTTTTTGGCCTGGTACCTGACCTGATTTGTGCTGACGTTCCACTTTTTTTATACCATTCTTACGCATGACAAGAAGTGGAATACTGGCAGAAACAGCCCGGCACCCGTGCCACTCATGTTTGGCTGTTGTTGTTTTGTTAGCGTCGTGATTCTTAGTAATAAAACTGTTCTTCATCACGCTGCACTTAGAGGCCTCTCACCAAACACACACACACTACCAAGAGGGTCACCCCTACGTCGACAGTCAACCAAAATGGCACCTATATTCCCTACGTAGGGCACAAACGAATTGAGTACAAAAAAACCTTTCAAGCTTACTTGTAGGTAAACATCCACACTCTAATTCTCCGGTATGCACAGACCAAACTGTTCGATTCTAACAGACATGATATAAGTCACAGCAAATCAGGTGCCAAAACTGAACAATGTCATCACCCCTGCTCCGACCAATGGGAGAAGGTGTTGTGGCAGACGACATCAATGTGGGTGGACTTCGGATGGGTCAGAGGGCCGCTTAAATGTCGTTATGTTATTGTTGATATTCACATCTGGGTTTTAGTTTTGTATCATGTAGAAATAGTGAACAACTGGATGTTTTTTTTATATATATGTGTATATGAATATAATGCTGTAAACTGCATACAGGAATTAAGGGATTTCTCTTTCACATCAGTACAATAAAGATGGAACTGAAACATTAAACTGGTCTGTTTTTAATCTTATTTTGTAATTGTTTATAATTGTACACTGTGTAATATATAACCAATACAATTCATTTTGTATAGGTCATGCCACACGCTGTCCGGCATATTATGTAAAAAGATTTGAAGAAAATATTATTTTTAAGAATGCAACTGAATGAATTTATTTTTACAGCATTATTTTTGCATTTTTCTATGATTGAAACTACCTAGATGGAGTTATTTCCCTTCTAGTTCATGGGTACTAGATATTAAACCCTAAAAAGGCATTTGATACATTTTCTGACAAAGGGACATAGCAATGAATTATATTTGGGGAAAAAATCCTTAAACATTTCAGATACATTTCATTTTAAATGTAAATCCATTCCCTATTAAACATTTTCCAATTTTGATTTACATTTGTAGCACACTTCCACCACGCTCCCTAACCTCGCAGTCATCCAGTATCCCAGAGTTCTATGTTGTTACATACAACTGTATCCGGTCAATTGCATCCGGTCTGAAGCGCTAAGGTAAACTCAGCACGCAGTAAAGATGCCGCAAGGTAAACAGAAGTTTAAAGCGCAGCCCGCTGGAGCTAAGAAGAGTCAACAAAACAAAGGCACATTCATCAGAAAAGGAGGTATGTTTATTGCAGAATTGATGTTTTGTCTTCAAGTCATCGGCTAAATGTACCTGCACACGTGTGTCTGCACATGCTGGCTCAAAAACTTGGTTCATTTAGAAGGAAATGTATATATAAACGTCATTGGAAATGGACAGTTTCTTAAACGCGGGCTATTGCGTTTTTACTTAATCTTATAAACCAGTATATGGCCAAAAACCCCGGAAGTTGAACCAAGCTAAATTCATAGTTTTTACGTGACGCTTAGGCATAGGGATACGCCCCCCGGCGGGCAAATTAAACTATTTTATTGTCGAACCCAGGACATCATACATACAAAGCATGCACTCTACCACTGAGATACCAACTCCTCCAATAGGAACCCAGGACATCATACATACAGAGCATGTACTCTACCACTGAGATACCAACTCCTCCAATAGGAACCCAAGACATCATACATACAGAGCATGCACTCTACCACTGAGATACCAACTCCTCCAATGGGAACCCAGGACATACATACAGAGCATGCACTCTACCACTGAGATACCAACTCCTAGGAACCCAGGACAATACAGAGCATGCACTCTACCAGGAACCCAGGACATCATACATACAGAGCATGCACTCTACCACTGAGATACCAACTCCTCCAATAGGAACCCAGGACATCATACATACAGAGCATGCACTCTACCACTGAGATACCAACTCCTCCAATAGGAACCCAAGACATCATACATACAGAGCATGCACTCTACCACTGAGATACCAACTCCTCCAACGATCGCCATAGAATGGCAGCAGTCAAACTAGTACACTTGTTTTTGTAGTAAGCATTTAATTACAGGTTACTTATCAGTACATGAATGGGAGTGGCCTGTTCACTTAGGCTGCGGTGCCAGGTGGATGTTATGAGAGAACACAGCCCGTAAAGGTGAAATTGTTATCTGAGATATTCCACTGTTTAGATGATCAACTCTGAAGTTGACTACGCATTTATTCCTCACAAGTTGTTCTGTTTGTTTTCCAGGGAGGACGATTGCACCAAAGAAGATCAAAGTAGTCAAGCAACAACGGTTGAAGAAGGTATGACCCCAGATGTAGACCATCATGTCTTTATATCGGGTTCAAACAAACTTGCCTGGTGACAAGTACTTTTTTTAACGACAACGTATGTCGTCTTTGTTGCTTTGGAGCAATCACAGATATGATAAAATTATCTTTTAAACATATTTTCATTTAAAACAGCACAACTCTCAATTGGCCTACCTGGTTAAATGAAGGTTAAATAAAATAAAAAAACTATCTACTAGATGTGACTAGCTGCGTCACCTTGATGTGTATCGCAAGTGTTAACATATTTTTTTCTAATCGGGGTTGATAAGAAATGTGTCGTCTTTGTTCATGTTCCGATCTCCTCTAAACACGGGACTCAAAAGTGAGTGGAGTTCCAGGCACATCACAAACAGGTGAGTGTCTCTTCTAGACCGAGGCCTAATTCCTTCTCCCTTGCTATGACCCCCAGGGCCTGGAGGTGGCGATCCGGAACCAGATTGAAGTAGAGGTCACCCATAGGGCAAGCACCAAACTACACAAGAGGCTCAGCATCGTAAAGGGGGCAGAGGTCAAACCTACCCCTTCCAAAGGCAACAATCACCCAAACCACCCTCCAGCCAGCACCTCCAAGTAAACTCATCCTGTGGTTTAAGGAGCGCTAAGAGGACTGCACTGGGAGAACAGGGACATGGCCGCTCAGGGAAACCCCTTTCTGAATGTGGCTAAAGTGTGAGGGACTTCGAACTTCACCGGCTGATCTCGTCCGATGACCTGTTCTGGAGTCATGGTTTTAGGACAGAGACACGTTTTTATGGTATATTTCAATTCTACTTGGAATTAAATAAGACTTGTGGACTTTTTCTCTAGCCGTTGTATGTTCTTGAGTAACGCGTGGGTGTTAATGGTGAACTGATGGGGTATTTATCTCTTACGGGGACCGGAGTCAGATGGTTTTCTGTTCTGCCTCGTTGATTTCACTCACCTGTTGGTTGAGTCTAGAACGTTTTCTTATCAGAGGGATGCAATGATAAAATGTTAGGCCTGTTGAGTTCCAGGGTTGAGTTTAGGGGAGTACACTGTCAGGTTAACATTTCCAGAGCTGTTTGTGACGAGTTTGGACTTTTTCTGTGGAGAAGTGTTGTAGTTCTGTTCTCTTTGATGTGGATACTCCCACAATCCTTTGCTTTCGCAGTGTAAATACCTCAGTCATGGACGGACCAATCATGTTATGGCCTAGGTTTATTGTTCATTCATTAAACACGGCATGCAGAGATGATAACACAATGTGTTGTCTTATAAACCTCTTTCAATACAGCTACCTTGAATACATTACGTCTTTACTTTAATTAACTATTAAATAGCTTACAACTCACTCCAAAAGTTACTGAAACAGAAAAGGGTCCTATTAATACAATCAATTGCTAAACAGCTTAAATCTGAACAGTCTGCACAAATAATAAATCATCTTTAAAGTCATGCGTATCACACAAAGCGTGCTATTGTTTTATTAAGCGGCCCTCCGGTGCAGCAGGGGGCGCTATGTAAGACCTAATGAGCTCTTAGGGCCTCAAAACAATGTGGGGAGCGAAGGAAGCGGCGGTAGGAGTCTTTGGCCATCAGATTGTACGCGTGTTGTTGGGCCTTGTGGAATAGGTCACTATTCGGCTCCTCCAACGCTCTCAGTACAGCCTCTCTGGTCTCTGCGTCCAGGTTAACCTGGGGACAGACATTACATTCAAGCAACTTCTACACAACGTTCAGACAACTTGGGTAAAAAAAATCTGAAACGTCTTTAGAGGGCTGTACTCAAACAATGCCGTCACAACTGTCAGGACAACGTGTCTGTGTCCCTCTTACTTCCTGTGGGGCACCAGGGTGGATGAATCGGGTGTAGATGGTTTGGGCTTTGACCCCCTGCAGCCCAGCCGGGGTGGTCTTGTATTCCTCACAGGACAGCCAGAACTCCAGGTTCTCCTCGCTGAACTCAGACTGCAGGAAGCCGCGGAACGCTCTCTGGCCAACTGCGAATTGGGAGGGGTTCAGGAGAGAACGGGTTCAGGGAGACATTTCCAAAACCGGCTACACTACATCACTATAGCAACCACTTTAGAGAGAAGGAAACGTATAGATGAAAAGGAGTGAAAGAGCAGACATGTGTAGATTGACGGAAAGAAAACAATTTGAATCAATTGTAAATTGAATATAAAACACACAACAAAATGTGGACAACGTGAAGCTGTCTGAATACTTCCAGGACCTGTATAGTATCTTATAGTGTGACTTACTCTTGCTGCAGAGTAAGGACTCCAGATCCAGATGAGCTTTGTTCTCAAGGATCCTTTTGGAAGAGGAACAGTGGAACCAGAGAGCGTCAGATCAAGGACAAGCTTTGGTGATGATCAAGCAGTTTTTCATTCTGTCCGTCCAGACTGAGTTAGTATAAACTCTTGGAGATAACACTGTCTTGGCCGTATATACATTAGCCTGATTCCATAGCAACATCTTTTGTCAAACGATTGCGTTCGCAACGATCACGCCCAGAACATACGGAACAGGAATAAAGTTGCCAACTGGCAGCTCAACCTGATGCTCTTAGGGTCAGTGCAGTGGGATCATGTGTGTTCTGGACACTCACACACAGTCCTTGAATAACAGCAACCCACACAGGGCAATGTCCCTCTAAATGCTCTCAAGAATTCATCATTAGATCAGAAGGAAAAACAGTCCAAAATGGGTAACAGAAAAATAGTGAAGTAGGGACTATAAAGTAAAACATCCAGGTGGAGTTTAACATGGTGAATAGAGAAGGAGAGTTTAACATGGTGAATAGAGAAACAGCCAGGTGGAGTTTAAGATGGTGAATAGAGAAACAGCCAGGTGGAGTTTAAGATGGTGAATAGAGAAACAGCCAGGTGGAGTTTAAGATGGTGAATAGAGAAACAGCCAGGTGGAGTTTAACACGGAGAATAGAGAAACAGCCAGGTGGAGTTTAACATGGTGAATAGAGAAACAGCCAGGTGGAGTTTAAGATGGTGAATAGAGAAACAGCCAGGTGGAGTTTAACATGGTGAATAGAGAAACAGCCAGGTGGAGTTTAACATGGTGAATAGAGAAACAGCCAGGTGGAGTTTAACATGGTGAATAGAGAAACAGCCAGGTGGAGTTTAACATAGAGAAACAGCCAGGTGAATAGAGAAACAGCCAGGTGGAGTTTAAGATGGTGAATAGAGAAACAGCCAGGTGGAGTTTAAGATGGTGAATAGAGAAACAGCCAGGTGGAGTTTAACATGGTGAATAGAGAAACAGCCAGGTGGAGTTTAAGATGGTGAATAGAGAAACAGCCAGGTGGAGTTTAACACGGAGAATAGAGAAACAGCCAGGTGGAGTTTAACATGGTGAATAGAGAAACAGCCATGACAGGGTTACCTGTGTTTATGATGTAAAGAGCCACTGAATAGAGAAACAGCCTGTTTATCTGCTAGGTGAGTTTCGGAGAATAGAGAAACAGCCAGGTGGAGTTTAACATGGTGAATAGAGAAACAGCCATGACAGGGTTACCTGTGTTTATGATGTAAAGACCACTCCTGTTTATCTGCTAGGTGAGTCAACTTCACCCGCATCCCCTTCGCTCTGGAACACAAAAACATGTACTGAGTACTACACCGTACAACACCTAAAATACTACACCTACACACCCTATACTACACCTGTATATACTACATCATAGACTCTCTATAATACACCTGTATATACCACATCCTAGACTCTCTATACTACACCTGTATATACCACATCCTAGACTCTCTATAATACACCTGTATATACCACATCCTAGACTCTCTAATATACCTGTATATACCACATACTAGACTCTCTATAATACACCTGTATATACCACATCCTAGACTCTCTAATACACCTGTATATGCCACATCCTAGACTCTCTATACTACACCTGTATATACTACATCATAGACTCTCTATAATACACCTGTATATACCACATCCTAGACTCTCTAATATACCTGTATATACCACATCCTAGACTCTCTATAATACACCTGTATATACCACATCCTAGACTCTCTATAATACACCTGTATATACCACATCCTAGACTCTCTATAATACACCTGTATATACCACATCCTAGACTATCTATACTACACCTGTATATGCCACATCCTAGACTCTCTAATACACCTGTATATACCACATCCTAGACTCTCTATACTACACCTGTATATACCACATCCTAGACTCTCTATAATACAACTGTATATACCACATCCTAGACTCTCTATAATA